GACGCATCGTTCCTTGATCCCGAAAAAAAAAGAATACTAGGGGTTGGTAAACCGATTACCTGATCCTGAAGGCGACTTCTCTCCCCGATACAGCTGCATCCTGCACTTTTCCTCGATTTTTCGAAAGCCGGAAAACCGTCAAGCTCCTTTTAATCTGGAAATTCGTCGACTTCCTTCGAGTGTTCCAGCCCCAGGAAGGTCCTATGAAGTACTCGTTGTTAAGGACTCCTTGAAGAGAGGATCTCTGCTTGAATCCCGAGGCACTTGTGCATCCGATAACGCGTATTGCATTTGCTTTCGAGACTCCAGATCGAAATTCGAAAGCTCCTACCCTCGATTGTGCTTTTCTTTGATCCTGCTGGATAGGACACCTGCAAATGATCGCGGAATTCTCAAGTAAACCTAGTTCTACTTGCGGGAGTGAAATTCGGCATGGCGGTCGAGGCTGATCCTTTGCCGACCGTTTATGGACTCGTTATTGCCTTCATAACAGGAGTGATCGGTTACATGCTTTGGGTGAGTGACATTAAAAGTGCCACGGGGATGTATAAATTTCCAATGAATATTAAACGCGAGCCGAGGAACGTCGATCTCGGTTTATAGGGGGGCGGCACCGGTTTGCGAAAAAAAAAATTCGCAAATCAAGCAAGACGCCTGACGCGTCTGCACGTCATATTTCACGGGAAAGCTTTCGAAGCAGATTTCCGTCAATCCGAAACAGGACGCGTCTCGGAGAATAAATTGGCACTTTTACGCAGCATTATCCCGAAAAGCCGCGCCTCGTCGACGCGCTCGAATTTTTCCGAAAATTTCACCGGCACGGTGGAAGATAGTCGACGAGCTCCAAAAAGGACGCCGGAAACTTTCCGCCGTAACTTACACCTTTAATACACGAGAAGCTCGTTTATTTATCGTAAGACCTCTTGTACGTAGTCGTCCGATTTTTATTTATACGCGTCCTGTTATCGCGCCTCTTCGGCAAGTTTTTTTTTTTCCCGAATTTTCTTTCCCTTGAAAGAGTGGTAAATCTTTCTACTTTTTCCTCTCACCGCGTTTCCCATAAGAATTCCCAAAGAATTCCCATAGGAATTTCTCGTTGCTCCAGTGGCGCAGAATTTGTCTATCCGGGTCAGTTCGGGATCGATCTATTTCCGTCGAACCTCCGACCAGAGGCCGCGACGTCGGCGTCGCGACGCCGTCTTCCAAAGTCGAGGTCCGACTAATTGCGGCTCCTGCAACTTGTCGATCGTTCAACACTCGGTTTGAAATATTCCAACGTAGAGTTTACACCTTTTTATTAATTTTTATTGGAGATAGAGAGACTCTTTGATTGAAATGTTGAAATAAAATTAATTCTCTTTTACCTGCACGCAGCGTTTGGGCAACTTCGGGCCGCCACCTTGCATCCTCCGGGTTCGGGACTCTCGGAGTCATGAGTTAGTACTTCGCGAAATGGAAGCACGTGCCCTGTGGCGAAGGGGATTTCGCGAAATTAATCGCCGTCGTCCTCGAGTCGCTATTTACCGACGTACATACCGGGACATTTCCGTCGCGCGGACGAGGCGCCGTTCCTAACCTCGAAACAAACTGCAGTTTCGCACCATGGCGACCAACCTCGGGACGTGCCGAGGGCCGGAATCCCTGAAGATGACCGACATGTGGAAGCTAAGTTTAGGTGGTAATTAACATCCTGACTGATCGTCTCATTAGGAACTTTAGAGGTGGATTTACTAATGAAGCAGACCCAAATTCCCAACGGCTGAACCATTTCAGAGCTGCTACAAAAAATTGTCCCTCCCCTGAACCGCTCCTCTTATCCGAATATATTCAAAGAAAATATGGAAAGTAACGAAAATCCTGCACAATATGGGAATTATGGAAAATGCCTCCGTATTTCCCGGCTACTTATCGGTCATATTTTCAAAGAAAACCATCCCTCACCGAGCACGATACCGAGGGCTGGAAACGGTCCTCCATTCAATCGAGACCGCGGTACGTTAGCGAGGACATCGCGAGAGCATTTGCCAATTTGGTTTGGAATTTCATTCACTGGATGTAACGAGTCGAGGGCAATCGAGACATTAACGGCACGCAACGGTCGGGGGAAACGAGCGAAAAACACGCTGAAAATCGGGGGAATGATTTCCACCTCGCGGTAAGAACGGGCGTTCCACGGGATCGTTTGTCACGATCGAAAAGCAATATTCCTAAAAGTGTTTTGCCGTCTCGATGCCGGAAGTACTCCCAGGCTGCCGGAAGTGTGCAATCGATATCACGGCGGGACTTTTATGGAGCGATCGTCGGCGGGCCAAGTTGCAAAAATCGAGGGGCGAGCTGGAATCGCGACGAGTCGGTGGATTCGCGTAAACGCGCCTATAGGAAGTCCGATTGTACGATTATTTAATAAATCCGTCAATTAATCGGGTCGAGATCGGTTCCCGATAGATCGCCTCGGATCGATCTCGGCCGGCGCGGGCGAGGAAACTCGCCGAGCCGGCATTATAGTAATGACTTAATGACCCGACATTACTGTGTACGTTATGGGGATCGATCGTTCCGAATCGGTGCAATCACAGACGCGGCGACGTCGCATGCATATTACGTCGACGCAATTACGTGTGAACCAGAGGACGCGTAATGCCGCGGGAAATTGCTGCGGTCCAGCGGGGTCGGTTCTGCCCCTTTTTAGTTTCGGAGTAGATGAAGGGAGAGGAAATTTCGGATTTCCAGAGCCCGGTGACGCGCCTCGCACCCTCGATAAATCCCGCTAAATCGCGATAAATCCATCCCACTGTGGATGACAAATTTAATTCCGAATTTCCCGGGAACTTCCTCCGCTGGACCGGGTCGGCTTCCGTCGGAGGCTGTGGCCTTCGCCTCTAAATAGAGGCTCATCTCTAAATAGCGAGTTCGACGCGTCGAACGGAACGCAGGCCTTGGATGCGGCTTTTAGCACCTCGATCGAGTGGTTCGATCGGTTCCCCTAAATAAACGAATTCGAATGCCGGAGCGCCGGCAATTTCGAGCCGAGCTTTCGGCGAGCCGCGGATCGGGCATCAAACCCGACAACTCTCGATGGACCGAGTCGTTTGAAGCTCGACATGGCCAAAGATCGTCGATTTATTCGCAATCTCCCTGGCCCGATGGACCCTCTTCCATCGATGACTCGATCGACCACCCCCCCCTCCGAACAATGAATGAGCGAGAATCAATGTCCAGAGAGTGCTTATTCGCGCTTGATAAACCATGTGCAACTCCCATACCTCCCCTATTTATTACATTTAATTTACCCTTGTCATACGGCAGCAGATTGGTAGGTGAGGGATGTAAATTGCAATCAGCGTTGCGTTTCGACGCCGGACATGGTCCCAGGGTAAATATTATCGGAATGGAGCTTTCGCTTTCCTCGTTTCATAGAATATTTTTGTGACGTCTCTAAAAGGCTAAAAAAGAAACACGAAGGGGATATTTTCCGGGGTTTTCGATGTTCCAGGGCACATTGGTGCCCTTAGGAAATTTCGGCCAGGGCGGGTGGCCAGGGGGATCCGCGTCGTCGATCATTGATCGGGCATCGTCGATGGCTCGTCGATCAGGAAGCCGAAACGAGCGGCGCCGCCCGGTCGTTCCGATGGGCCGATTTCATTGTCTCTCGCACCGGAAGTAGCGGAGCGGTATAAAGTGGAGAGCGCGTTCGCGCGCGGATTACAGAGATTACAATGTTGCGAGCCTCTTCTCTCTTTTTTCCTCCCTCTTGCGCCCCTCCGTGCATCATTCTCCCTCTCGTGGCCTGCATCCGGACGACTCGGGCAGCGTTGGAAAATCGGTAAATAGCGCGGCATCCGAATTAATCCGGTATGCCGCGGTACCGGGACGGAAATTTGGTTTCATGCGGCGTATTGGCTTTCGGCTGTGAATCTCTCCCCCCCTATTTTTCCCCCTTTCCGTCCCTTTCCCTCTCTTTTCCCTCTACTCTCACCAGGAAAGGAGGGCGATAATCATCCGCGAGCGTTCGGCCTTTTGATCCCAGCGCGCCGTTAAAGCTGCGCTCCAGGAAATCGAGTCGCCTCCCGTAAGAGCCTCGATACCGCCGAAAGCTCCGGGAAAGCTCGGCTCGGATTTTCTCTGATTCCCGAGCCAGAGGCACTCCATTTGGCCGATCGCCCCGTGAGAGGTCTCGCTCGACTTTGAGCTTTCGCCGATTCGATCGCCGAGCTTGGCACTTTTCGGCCGAAAGTGCCCTGCCCCGAAGGAGCTTTTCCGATGTATCCGGGGCCGTGATAGAACCCTCTTTTCTGGAAATTTCACGTCGCTTCGTGTACCTACCATCCTTGAAAAAAAGGACCCTTGAAATAGATGTTACGGGTGGAAATCCCAGGGAACGGATCTCGCGCGAAATCGGGCGAAGGATAATTTCTGGACCGTTTCGGGATGAAGAGGAATCTCGACTAGGCATGGAATCGAGTCCGGGGTGGTCTTAAAAATGAAAAGCGAGCCGCTTTTTCTCCATCGAAACGACAGGGAGAGCTATGGGGCCCTTTGGTCGGGGTCACGGGCGATTAACCAATTTACGAGCATAGGCGTTTAATGGTTCGCGCGAGCTCTCTAATCCGAAGCGGCGATTTCGTTCCTTTGTAATTTTATGCCGGGCTTCGTTTCGTACTCGACAGCTCTGTATTATCCTCGATATCGATTGGTCCTTTGGCGGGGACAAAGACCATCGGTGGTCGTGGAGGCTCCCGCCCTCTGCCGAGCCTTCCCGAGCCGGTCCTCGCGAGTCCGTAATGGGATTGTAATTAGAATTTGGCGAGGCCAGGGCAGTCGGGTTTTCGGGGGCGAAATCGAGCTCGCTTCTTCGAGGACTTCTTCGAGGACCAATTCCGAAGTCTCCGGTGACGGACCCGTAATGAGATTTCCACGCTCCGAAGAAGGTCTTCCTTCGACTCGGATATCCGGCCGAGAAATTGGGTCAATGAACACCTCGCCAGGAAGAAGGACGAAAATCGGTCGCTCGACTTTACCCTGTATTTACTGACGGACAGTTGGATAATTTGAAAAAGTTTAGCGACGGCGATAACCAAACGAAGAGCACTGCGCGAGATGGCCTCGTTCCTTGTTGACGTTTCAACTTGGAAATACATTTTTTTTTTTTTCTACGAGCCGTCTTCCTCGGATACTCCCTCGTCACTGTCAGAATTTCTCGAGGAGTCGCTATTCTCGATCTCGACCTCGTTATCGAACGCCCTGCGACCCTCGGATCTCACAGTTTTGGAGTCAAACTTGGAGCGAGTGTCGCAGACCCAGATCAGGAGCAGATAGTCCTTTTCGGCCTTCGTCCTGGCGCGAAGCAGGGTGTCCATTAGCTTTTGGTCCAGGGAGGCGTCCACCAAGGGAGGTATTTCCTGGTTCTCCAGCTGAAAAAGAGATCGGCCGATGATCAATGGATCGGATCGATCGTGGCCGGCGCATTCCCGCAAATGGAAGCCGGCCATTATGCCCAGCAATGATAATACATGGCGAGGCTCGCAAGGTTTAATGACAAAACACTATGCCGGAGTTTATGACGTCCTCCTCCCTTATGGTCCCCGTGAGGGCGTAACTCAGCCGGGTAGCAAGAAGCCGGGAATGCCCTTTGATTAACTCGCGGCTTAAAGAAGAGCCATGTCGCGATTAAGTACGTGACAAAAATAATTCGGGAATGGTTAAACGAATTTCAGAAAATTTCTTGGCTCACCAGCTTTTCCAGCTCCTTGCTCGGGTTGGAGAACGCGCCCGATGTCAACGACTCGCAAAACTGATTCTTCGTCCCCTCTGGCAGGGTCTTGAACTTCGACACGACGTTCTGGAATTGTTGCTGATAGAAAATCGAAGAACTGTCGTCCGGTTTCCTCTCGTCGCCATCGTTTGTCCCGTTTTCGGTTGATTTCGCCAACGGATTCCCCGAGTCGCTCGCACCGGAAGTTTCCTCCCTGTTGGAAGACCACGAGGCATGTATTTTTATACACAACTCAAAATTCGGAACGCAAAGTTTCCAACCTGTCATTCTCGGCTCTTAAGGCCTCGCCCATGTTTCTTCGTGGTTGATCATTCTTCTTGCCTCCGAGTGCATCCGCGGAAACTTCCCCCGAGTCGCGAGTGGTTTTTCTTCTCCCCTACAACGCGATCTAGAATTGACTCGGTGATCCACCCTCGGGTCGCCGAATTTCTTTCATCCCTTTTTCGAGTCTTACGTACGTCGGCTTTTTCGACGGCGGAACTCCTCCCGAGGTGTTCTCCGGAAAAGTCATCGGATGACGCCGCGCCATTTTCCAGGAAACTCACTGCCGCACACGGTGGCAACTTGATGTCGATGGAGATTTTCCTTCTGGAGGAATTCCCACTTTGAGATCCTCTTTTTACGGGCTGAGCCCATACCGATGTCCCTAGATTTATCAAAGTTTTACCACTTGATGACATCGAGATAAAAGAGAAAGGAATTATTTCGAACGACGTGAACTCTTGGACACAAGAAACCTCACCAGCAGTTACCTGTTACGATGCAAAAAAGGATGGAATATTTAACAACCTCCATTTCGCGGCTGCAAGGTATTCCAGCGAGTTCTTAAACGACGCAGGGGTAAATTGGAAAATTTGTCCTAAAATTCGAGGAAATCACTTCTGCAACGTCCGTTTGCGACTACGCGTGGAAGATGTATGGACTACATTAGGGCGGTGCTGTATTGACCCCATTTGCTATATATCCCCATCTCTCGACGTGGCCACTTTTTTGCCCTCCACCATTGGTCCTGATGCTCTTATTACGTCACCTATCTCTTAACGACCGTATTCTCCAACGAGCAGGCTGCCATAGACGGTCTCTATTAATTTCATTTCAATCAACGACCGCAGTTGTCCGTGCCCGACACGCTGGTTGGAAATAAGGATTCAACGAGTCGTCGGTAACAATGTTAATGGAAATACACGCAAGCTGAGCATCGAAATGAAAATTGGTGGGCGGTGGTCATAAATCGGAGTACACCTTGCAGGTGTATTGGACATTGTCATTCGGAGAGGAAGTGCCCTCGAATGGTGGATGCTGTTACGTCTGGGATCACGAGAAAAAGAAAAATATTCGAAACAAATTTGTTCAATATAATTTTATTATTCGATAGTTATTATCTCGGGAGCTTTCTCGGGTGTGTCGGCGGGTCGCGGGACCGAAACAGGGTGGCCCTCGGTTGCTTGAGTCTAAACAAAAAATGACATCTTTACTATTTTCTTAAGTGACATGGGCCTCCCGGTCTCGGTCCGATGCGCGAGCCGATGCACGTGCAGTATTATATTTAATGAAAGAAATGTTAAAAATACATATATATATATATATATCTGTTTATTTGTTTATTTATTTGTTATGCACGTGCAGGAGGCGTTACGCGGGACGTAACAATGCCCAAACTGGTACGGATGCAGTTACAGGCAATAGGTGCACATTTTCACGAAAAGTGCATCCGAGTGTCAAAAAGGAACGACTGAAAAGGAACGATCTTTTTTCCTCCTTTTTTCTCGACTTTATGGAACAGGACGCTCGATCCGCAAGAATTTTCAGGATCGTCGCCGGGGATAGTCCTCTATCGTCGATGCGTTCGTTGGCAGGGGTCCATTAATTTTCCGGAGGTTCCAACGGTGCCGCTGAGGTCGATGATAACGATAATGTAGAAAATCGAACGCGATAGGCCGCGACGTGGCTCGTAGCACTCGGAGGGCCACCATTAAGCCGCGGATTATGTCGCGGATTATGCCGCTCCGAATGAGACATAAGGTGCTTATAGTTAACGCTGCCAGGGACTCCGAAAGAGGAGGGCTTAAGAGTCACCTGTTTTATGCAGGACGTGACGAATTTTGCCCTCTTTCTTCGAGTACGAGCGGGGCGAAATTATGGGATTTCGTTCGAGTCGATCGACCGGATTACGGCGGCTTAAGTCGCGTTCGAGTCTCTCACTTTTCCGGCCTGGATGGTCCTCTCGAAATCGCATTTCCTCCTCTCCGGGGTAGACTCGATTTTCCTAACGAGGCGGCCGGATGGGAGGACGCGGATGAGTTCAATTTTCCAAATTAAACGACCCGGTTATTCTAGCATTAATCGGTTTTAATCGGGATTAATCGGCGGTAATCAGCTCCCTGAGAACCCTGGAGCGTGAAATAACGCCCTCGGAAAAATCAACCGACAAGAGCGATCACATGGAATCGATTTCGATCCAAGCGAGGCCGATATTTCTGGATCCGGAGCCTCTAATCGGTCGATTTAAAGCTTAAGCCCAGCTCAAGCTCGCAATCTCGCCCTTAGATCGGCGTCGAGGCGCCTTAAACGAGGTCGAACGTTTATTGGTCGACGCTGGCGCAATCGGATTTACGAGGCGGGCGCATCTCGCGGCGCACATTTCGGCTCGCTCCCGGGCATTGTTCGTCGGGTGCATTCGGCATAATGTTATCGCAGAAATAAACTAGGGGCTTATCGTATTCTTGCCTCCCGACCCGGCCCGGCCGCGCTCCTTCCGCGACCGCTTTCCGCCTACCGCTAATCGGAACGACGCCCATTGTTGTGCACGCACCTAACTTCCTCCGAATCGTCGCCCTTTCCTCGTTGAGAATTATCGCAGCTGGCACGCTTCCTCCGCCCTCCGGCAATTCCGGGGAAAAGGAGGAAACGAAGGAAACTGGAGCACCGTCTCGCGATTCGCTCGCAACCGCGGATCGGTAATTATGGGCTGGGCCGTATTTCCCCGGGAAACTTTTCATCGACGTTTCCCTCGACGGGCCACTGGAGCGCGGTCTAAGAATGAATAGGAAAGCTCGATGAATGGATACGATTTTCCCGTTTTATTTTCCGCGATACACTTTGCGCACCTCGCGGTACTCGGCACGGTTCGGCTGTCAAAATCAGCTGATCGATGCGCAGCGTCTTCCCCCACTCGCGGCAGTTTCCCGCACCCGGAGGGTGGATCTATCATCTTCTCCGGGATTGCCTGCAGGATTTCCTCCTGGATTTCCATCCTCGCCGCCACTCGAGCACCCCTCGAAGTGCTACCCCATAAAGTTGCCCCTCGTACGGTGAACCCCCTACGGGGCGTCGTCGGGTTTCCCAGGATGCGTCGCCGGTGATCGTCTCCGAAGGGGTTTCCTTCAAGTTTTCCCGGCGGCCTCGTCGGGATCCCGACCTGGTTTCCGCGTTTCCTGTCTCGACCTATCCCCCGCGAATCGGCCGTTTCCTGAAAAGCCAGAAAACTCGACCCCGCGGCACCCCGTGGATCGTCCTCGTCAATGGGAGCCGCCTTTTTGGCCATGGCCCAACTTCCTGATCCGAGTTCTCCGCGAGTCTACTTAGCTTTTAGTCAGATCGAAAGCTCGCGATTTCGTTATACGGTTATTATTATCAGCCCCTTTTCACGGCGGGCTTTCAGTGAGATTATTTCTATCGTCCCCTCGTCGCTTCTAAAATCAATTTATTATGGTTCACCCGGTGTACCTCGGAGGTAGAGACTCTATCCGAGTCCTCCTTGGATGCTCCTCTAATTGGATCTCCTCCTTGTCGACGCCGGAAGTCGTGACGTTCTTGCCGTTCCTCTCCAAGCTCGCAAAATCCGGAAAGAGTCTGAGATATATGTCTAAATATATTTCATATATATACGCATTAAACTTTTAAACTCAGGACGCGAAACAATGGTCATTTTAGCGGATTAAAATTTTCCCGACTTTTTTCCGATCGAATTAAAAAAAAAAAAAACCAGGAAAGGTGTCTCCGAAGTGCACTCTCTGTCACGCCAGGGTGGGGGAACGATGAAACGGGGGCGTTGAAAAAAATAAAGCTCTCGAGTTTCCTCGAATGTAGTGGAATGAAAAAAATACCTGGAAACGCGGGGGCCGTTTCGAGATAGCGGATTTCATCGGGCGAACTTTTTGGCGCAAATGGTATTTTTATTTACTTTCATTTATTATTTTTTTTTTTCCAACGCCGCATCTGCTTTTACGAGAAGAGAGGATTTCCGGGTTTAGGGACCCCGGGAAAAATAGTGGCATTAATAAGACCATCGAAATCAATAAAAAGATAAAGGACATTTTATGATGACTGATCGAACGCGAAACAAGCTTTCAATACGTCGAAGAGCCCATAACTGTCCGATCGAATTACCGGGCATAGCGTCATCATTTTTTAGCCTCCTGATTGCCAATTAATTAACGACTGATGTTCAGAACTATGTAATCGAATGGATAACCGGTAATTGGGATATCGGGGACGTTAAACGCACGACGGACCGTTGACAGCCTTGACAGGATTATGATAAAAGTCTCGTTGATACATAGCTCATAATTTCTGAGATTAGAAAAAATAGATAAGGTCAGGGATACTTTTTTATTCCCGACTAGTAGCCAGGGTGAATTTCCACGGGGTGAAATTCTATGCCCGGATAAAAATAAACGGCACGTCATCCGTCTGTTACTGTCCATTCTGACAGTGTTCATCGATTGACAGACACTCGTCCTTCATCGACGATGACTGACAAAGCACGGGGATAAAATTTCGCCCCGTCGACGAGCGACAACATTTCATCTCGAAACTGAATCGATATTCGTCTGATCCCATCGATGTGCGTCGCGTCGTCGAGGCTCGAAAGTAATATCCGACGTCGGAATTCCGAATGCTTTGAAATTTCTAGCCGGGAAGTCGAAGACGACCTCGAAATAAATCGAAACCTCGAGGATATCCTAGGGATTGTCAAATGGGCTGTGCAATTTTATACGCACGCGATTATGCAGAAATTCGAGGGGGTTGAAGATTCGCGGCTCGAATTAAAAGTCCGCCATTAACATTTAGCTTTAGCCATTGGAATAGCGAAAGAAAAGGGTCTTAATCCCCTTTGTTTCTTTGTTACAGCCGACCATCTTTGGCACCGTGGCGTCGGACCTCAACCCCAAGGACGGCAACAGTCGGAGGGTAAGTTCCAGAGGGAAGCTCTTCCCTCCTGCGCCATTGGCGGGGCTTTTTTAAGTGGCCGCGACGAACTCGGGCATTCTGGAGGAACTTAATCCCGGCCCTCCTTCGGGACTTTATCCCGTCTAAAAGGCGGCACAGAGGTCGTGGCTCCTGGAGGATAACACCCCCGGGATTTCCTCGAGGCTCGTAATGAGTAAAAATTGCCGCTAAGTCGCTACCACTAACCACAGGAGATAAAGATGGCGGATTCGCTAATTAAAAGTTACGCCGCTTCCAAGTGGCCCTTGCGCGACCTAAATAAAGATTTAATCTTATCGTCGACCTCCTTTGAGGGAAGGTGGCCCTCTTGTTGCCGCTAAAGAGCCCCAAAATATGCTCGGAGGGAGGCCAATGGATTTTCGCCTCGCGGTCCTTTTGCCCAGAAAACTAGGAAACGACTCATCCAAGAGATTGCGTTAGAACTTCGACATAAAGGCTCATTATGGACGTCCGGAGAAAAATTTCATTTTTTCCACCGACCTTGTGGGACTTAAAGATTTAATATTACCGTGGAATTCGGTCGAGGACTCCTCTCGGGATTCAAAATTCCCTCCCTAGAGAGCCGGTTAATTCCTGCCGTGTTCATATCCTCCGAGAACAAGGGTAGGTCCTCCTCCAGGGCCTATGTAATTTTTATTTTAATTTTAAACCGGATATTACGCAAATTCCGGAAGAGACGGAAAGGCATTTTTTTTTTCGCCGGGTCTTGCTCCGCAACCTAAATAGAGAGGCCACCTCCTCGTCGAGGTCCTTTGACTCCGTGTAATCCTTTTGTCCATGCTAAAGAGACCTAAAACGCTCCCCGTATAAAGCCAATGGACTTATGATGCACTTACCTCTTTTACTTAAGGGCGGAACTCGGATTCCCAGTCGGAGACGGGATTTAGGAATTTTAATTTCGACGCAAGATTTCGAGGCAGGATGCACTTACCTCTTTCACTTAAGGGCGGAACTTGGATTCCCAGCCGGAGACGAGATTTAGGAATTTTAATTTCGACGTAGGATTGGATAGAACGAAAATTCCCCGAACGATGTTACCATTTTTCCCCGGCCCTTGTGCGACCTAAATAAAGGTTAATCTTATAGTCGATCTCCTTTGACTGGAGGCGCACCTCTTGATGCCAAAGTGATTTAAAATGCACTCCAGGGAAGCCAATGAATTCTTAACGTACTCACGGAATTCTCCACCCGTAAATGGAGAGAGGAGCGAGTCGGACGATTTTAGCGTTACCTTTGAAGCGGAAATCCCGAAATTTTTCCATTAGCTCACAGATGCGCTTATAGGATATATCATCGGCGAATCCGATTGTCCCTTAAATGATATAATTAACGCTCCCAATAATCCGAAATTCTCGATGCAACTGGGATTATAGATTCTTTTTCAAGCGAACGAATTCTCGTGTTTTCGCGTCTCTCGCTGGGAGAAAAGGAACCGAGAAACTCCATCGGGAAATTCTGAATACGATTTTTGATGGAGCAGAAGAGAGGAGCAGCGACCCAGTTAAGCCGGAACAACCGAAAGACCTCAAAGAATTTTCCAACCCTTCCTCGGAGTGCATAACTTTCCCAATTTGGAAATATGACATTTTTTCGGGCCGGGAATCCGTCCGATCTCACCTCGAGTTACATTTCTCCCGGGTATTCTAATTATCCTTCCGTCCCGGAAATTCGCGTTCACGGGTCTTGCGTGCGCATTTCCGATGTCAATCGTTCCAGGATACGACTGGAGGATTTCACGGGAGAGCGAAGGAGATTTCATCCCAGGGGGTGGGAGCTTTCGGGGCGCTTAAGCGTTTCCTGTGTCGAGCTTTACGGAAATCGACAGCTGGGGGGAATTCTTTTAGCCGATGCGAGTCCTGGGGACGAAAGAGGATAATAAGGAGCCGAAGGATGCACGGGACGAGACGGAATGAGAACGCGTACGTGCATCTACCCTCTCACAGGATTTCCCCCCCCCCCCTCAACCATGTACTCATACCCCTTGCAACTACTCGCGTTACATGAAGGCGCACCCTGCGCACATGAAGGGGCACCATGGGGTGGCAGGGGGTGGGATTCAATAAAAGATTTCACGTCATATTTGTCGAGGGCAAATATTGCTGACGGGACTGACGGCAAGGAGGTGCCGCTCGAGTTATGAATATAAATGCCCGGTCTCTTCCCTGGGTGCGGCTGGATCTAGCAATCGATACCGATAGATCGTGATCGATCGCGACTCCGACCGGCGACGAGCCGCGAAAATAGCAGCTCGACGGTAACGTATTACGTCGCGATCGACGACAATGTCCGACGATTCTTCATCGAGCGAGCGTCGCGACGCCGCGAAAAATGCTCGGGGGGTGTTTTCGCGAAGTGGGGCGATTTTGAAAAATCTCGCCGGATCGGCAAGACCGATTCTTCCGGGACCTGGAATAGACATTCTGCCCAGTGGATCCCGAAGCAGGAAAAAAAGACACGGGGTCTCCTTCCCAGGATTCCCCCCGGTCGATTAACGCCGTTGAAAAGGAAACTCTGGTTTAATTCCGCTACCGGGGCGCATAAATCTCGGGTTGACAATGGTTCTCTGCAAGTACTTCTTTTTCCTTCTTTTGTTCCTCTCTTGTCCAGAATTCGAGTAAATTCCCGTAAACCAGATGAACCCGATCCATGCACCTCTGCACTTTTCCCTCGTTCAGTGGATTTCGAGGGCGGTCTCTGCCGGCACATTCAGTCATTTCGCATGCGATTTCGCCGAGAAACGTCCCGGCAGGACAAATTGAAAGCGCGCTGCCCCGGCGCAATTTAATCAAGTTTAAGCGCCGAGCAGGAGCGTCGTCGTCACGGGGCGCGTGCGGAAAATCAAAGGAGGAAGCCGCGAGGCGTTGCGACGCTCGGACCGGGTCCATCGCCTAAAGGGGATCTCTCTTCGCGCTTCTCTTGGTACAATGGCGTTCGCCACGAGGAACTGGATATCCGATGGCGCAGGATGGGACGGGCGATTTCTAAAAATCGGCAAAAATCCGGGAAAACTCGAGGAAATTCGGACAGTCCGCCGCGGCGCTCCGACGACCGGCGCCATCGCGGCGGTCAGATCGATCCTCGGCGGATTCCCCGCGACGTGCCCTCGGGAATCTCTCCCCGGAGCTGGAGCCCCGAATTAACGATCGAACGCCCGCGACGGGCAGTTTGTAACAATTAGCCGGCGCGATAATGCGATGCTCCCCGAGCCCCCGATATTCGCCCTCCGATCCTAGGATGCCCCCCCCTCGAATATCGACGAGCCGACGAACGCTCCTCCCGGGGGCTTTTCGCGTGGCAGGGCGCAAATACCGCCGATTCGCCTCCGACCGAGTAGTCACTCTTCGCCTTCCCTCGTAAACAATATTTAACAGCATTCTTGAATTTATCCGGATTTAATGTAGGAATTTTCCTCTCGAGTACATCGACTCCCGGCTTATCAGAAAATAATCACAAGGTCCCTATGGGCCAGGATGCACGGCCAGCTGATAACACCGATAGCGTTCTCCACTTGGTACCGGAGTAATGGGTGGTTCCGGAAGGGCCAAGTGGAAGCGGCGCTGATGGGCCACGCACGGAACCGCGGCGGGCGGAATGCTGCGGGATTGCCGCACAGGCCGGAACGTCAATCACTGCATTTGATACCATCATTGCCGGTGGTCGGTAGGAGCCGGGCTCCACCATAGATTATGACCCGCCCCGCACCCCATAGATGCGATAGCTCGCTGGATTCACCGAGACGCGTGCTCGTCGCTGGTTCTCCGGGCTCCGACGATGGGATTTCGGCTGCGGTGCTGCTGGCACCGGATGCCGATGAAGAGATCCCACGTATATGTGCATATAACCATTTTGGATAAACAATCAAAATCGATTCGTTATTTATTTACTCGTCTCCAAGTTTGAATTTCCATATCGCTAAACCGCGTATACCTCGCAGGGGAGGATTTTTGGGGTCGATTATGGCTGGGGGGCGAGGGGAGGGTTCGGAACCGCGGAATAATTCCTGGTGAATTAGGGGACTTCCTCCCGTTCTCCTCAGGAGCGAGGAAAGGGACTTTCCTCTGCATCCCCGGGACTGCGAAACTGCCAGTTTGTCCTCTTCTAGATGCGACTTCGGCGACTGCCTTCGCGGGGGGTCTCTCTAATTGTGCCCGACTCTTGCATATTTACCCGACTCGGTTACCGCTGCTCGTGGGGTGGAGTAATGACGCGGAGAATGGACGGTTTATTAATCCGCGGATGGGGCCGGAACTCCGTTTAGGCCGCAAACTGGAGCGAGACGTCGGGGCTTAACTTTCTGTGGAACCGTAACGCGATTTCAAGTCCTTATTCGGAGCCTGGGGGATGGCGAGAGGAGGGATGCCCGCCTTTCCGCGGGGGAGGAAGGAAGGGGTTCTGTGACCCAGGGTGCAGGTCCTGGACGCCTCTCTTCGAGTCCTTGAAAGAAGTCTCCGGGGTTCGGTGGATAGTATTATAGCTTAATTTATAGCCGGGGCAACTATTCGTTTCCGCTCTTGCTCCGGCATCCGGTGTCAAAATCACGCAGCGGTAAATCAAGGTGGAGGGAGCAGTCGGAGGCCGGTCTCCCGGGCGCGGATGCACCCTCGGTGGAATCGACTCCTGGATAACCTATAATGTCCCTCTTTTGCCACTATCCTCCCTATTAACGATTTCACGGTTAAACCAGGCAAATCCGCGAGAATTTTATACCGGGGTAAATATTGGGAAAAGTTTTTTAAACATCTTAAAAAATATTTACAAGTCAATCGGCGTACGTATTACCACTGTACTGGGTAATCCACGAAATAAGCTCCGTAAGTCACACCTGGGGCTCTTATAGATGTAACCTGCTAGGACACCGTCTCTTCCATAAGCATCACCCTTGGTGGAGGTCTAGGGCTGAGAAAATCAAGGCTGAAAGCTGAGTTTCCCTCCGACGCCGCGCATGTCGCGTATGTCGCGTA